AGAATTTGTATTCAAGCCATTCACGACTGATTTTGCTCTTACTCACCTGATATCCTGAAGGTGTCTGACCCATATTGGTTTGGTTTCCAGCTGTTTAAATGACAGACAGAAAATTTTTGACGACAAAGAAACATTTAAAATAAGTCAGAAGCAAAACAAATTATTGATATGTGCCCTGTTAAAAATGATAATAAGCAATACTGACTAAAAGTTGAAGGAGAAAGAACTTGTACTATGCATAATACTGTTGTCAGTGTAAGTAGGTGCCACAAAACCTGATACAGAGGCACATGATCAACTTGACAGCTTAATGTTGGAGGGCAATATCAGCAGATGGGAAATCTAAACCACCATCCACTTTCTTAACCCTCCATTAAGGTTACCGTGCACCTTCAGGGGTGTCTCGCGTGAAAGCGATGTAGCGCGTCCGGTTTAAACTGTAGATATCTAAACCCCTATGTCAAATTAAAGGCCTGTAAACCCAAAAATCGTACATTTTGTTTTCTCATAGCTGTTTAACAATTATATCAAGTACACCAAATGCGCAATTCGTTTTTTCTCCAAAGTCCATTTTCACCTTGAAAAAGCTCTTCAAAATTCGAAACATTCGCCATCTTGAATTACGCCATCTTTCGTGTGACGTCATGGGTGGAACCTTCCTATATACTGAGGTCAAAAGCTTTGTTTTACGATCGCGTGAGAGACCTGCAAGTCTCCTTTGCAGCCGTTGTTTGCCGTTCTCGTCACGATTATTTTTACTTATAATTTGGTTGAATATATTCAAATTTTTCGTAATGGTAAAGCGTTGTGTCGTCCAGTTTTGTAGTAATTCAAACAAAACCCGGCACCCAATGCATAAATTTCCAAAAGAAACAAATTTGAAGCGACAATGGATGAAATTTCTCCAAGTTAAAAGAGCCGATTTCGACGAGCCGTCCGAACATTCTGTTGTCTGCAACGGTCATTTTTCTCCCGATTGCTATGAGAAAAGCTATATGGTCGAAATGGGCCTTAAAAAGCAAAAGCTACTTCTTCCTGGTGCTGTGCCGACAGTTCAGGCCCTACCAGAAAATTTTTCTTCCGAAGTAAAAAAGCGACCCATGCAGTCGGCAGACAGCGAAGATCCAGAGGTGACCGACCGTACTGAGAAACGACCAAGGAGATGTAGAGCTCTTCAAAAGTTAGAAGTTAACAGGTTAAGTACAGAACTGATTTACGTGGAAACCTCAAGATTTTAGGTTCTCTAAAAACACCTTTCTTTCTCAGCTATTGAAAGATTATGGGGAAGCCAGTTGTTCGGGAGCCAGTGTTGAGCCCATAAAAGACACTGACCTGTTTGAACCTTTGTCGGGAAACCGAAACACGTATCAAGAGAGAATTCGTTAATGTCGGTATACAATGCGATCTGGAATTTAGTTGGTTAAATATTCCACAAACATCTACGGCGAGTGTGGGTGAGACAAAACCAGTCAAAAGAAATCTTCGTATTTTCTGCGCTTTGAAACCCGTCCGCGTTCTTTAGCGTGATGGATTCCTTTATTACACAGGTACACAAGTGGAACTTGTTACAACTGAGGCCGAGGTCCAATGTGAGATCACGAACACACCATTTGTACCCACATGCTCTACGCCTCTGTGTAGTCCTGTAAAGAGTGTTGGGGGTCACAGCGACGATAATCAGGAAGACCTGGACTATATTCCAAAATATTTAATTCCTGCTGAAGACTTGGTAGAAGAAGAAGTAGAGAAGGAAGAAAAAAAACAAACAAACAACTCTGAAGAAAATCTTTCGAGGTAGAAAGAGATCCTGTCTTTAGTTTGTTTTTTTAATTTTATTTTAAGTCCTGCTTACTTTGGATTTTGTTATAGGACACCTCACAATAAAAAAGGTTCAGAGGAACCACAAAGTGAAAGCAAGTTCATCGTATTTTTTTCCTGTTTGATGCAACTCTTTGAGTTCTTCCCTCTGTGCACTGAGCCTTCTACAGCTGAGGTATCTAGTGTGGTAGGCACTCTAATCCATGTCACCCAAAAATGTCTAAGCTGCAGTTATGCGCGCGTGTGGAGAAGCCAACCGTACATAAAAAAGATACCAGCTGGAAATCTGTTGCTATCCGCTGCTATTCTTTACTCTGGTAGTATGATCTCGCAAACCCTAAGAATGCTGAAAATTCTGAGGGTACAGTGTTTTAGCCGTCAGACATACCATAAACATCACAGGAACTACCCTTATACCTGTTGTCATAAAAAAACGTGGAAGGAAGAGCAGGAGAAATTAGTAGAAAGACCGTCCAATTTAGAAGGTGGTGTTGTTCTTTCTGGGGATGGTAGATCTGACAGCCCAGGTCACAGTGCTAAGTATGGGGCATTTACAGTCATTGAACAAAGGATCAAAAAAGCGTCAGATGTTCAGCTCATTCAAGTAAGTCATCTAAAGCCATTAGCTTTGCTATTTTATCAGTAAACTGTTTAATATTTAAGACTAAAACCAGTCTAACTTTTTAAAAGTGCAATGAGGTACCAAACAGCTCCTGGTGTGAGCATGAGGGCCTTCTTCGTAAAGAGACATTTCTGACTGAGAACAACCTTGACCTGAGTGTCATTATAACTGACAGAAATCGCCAAAATTCAGCCAACATAAGAAGGAATATGGCACCCAAAGGAACCAGACATTATTAAGACCTCTGGCACACTGCTGAAGGCAAGTTAAATGACATTAGTCTGTGAACCGTTCATAATATAATTACTGGCATAAATGTATATCACTGAAGAAAAATTATATTATTTGCACCTTTTGGCAGTTTTGAGTTAACATTCCTCATGGTGGACTAACTGTTTTCTTTGATCAAAGGAATTGGTAAAAAAGTTGATGCATTTGCAAAGCAGAAAGATTGCAAAAATGCTGGACTGTGGAGAAAGTCTATCATAAATCACCTTTACTGAATAGCTGCAACTGCCCCAGAAGGGGATGGAGATATGCTAGAGGCTATATGGAAGTCAGTTATTAACCACATTTAAGATATTCATGATGGGCATAGCGAATTGTATCCAAAATGTGCCCATGGTGATCTAGATGATGATGATCGAGACAAGGAGTGGCTCCAGCCATGTAAGATTACATGTCAACAAATTTACAAAACTGCTGCTTTTGTGAGTTTTTCATGATGGCAAATGTTGTTTTACTTTATATTTGCTTTTCA